AACAGCTATGACCATGATTACGCCAAGCTCGAAATTAACGCTCACTAAAGGGAACAAAAGCTGGAGCTCCACCGCGGTGGCGGCCGCTCTAGAACTAGTGGATCCCCCGGGCTGCAGGAATTCGGCACGAGGTTAAAGAGTCTTTCCCAGGTTCATTGTCCGATTCTCTAAGTTGTTAAGGAAAATGGCTTCCTCCAAGGTTTTTCTTCTTCTCGGTCTTGCCTTTGCCGTTGTTCTCCTGGTCTCAGCTCGTGAGCTCGCTGAGACTACTCAAACCCAGGAGGCTGTACAAACTGACTCTGTGGAGGATGCCAAGTATGGTGGCCATGGGTATGGCTACGGACACGGCTACGGACACGGACACGGCCACGGTCCCCCCCCCCCCCCCCCCCCCCCGGCTGACGATGCCAGCTGTACTTCTTTATCTTGGTCTGCGGTTCTTGCTGCTACGGCAGTCGGACGATTCGACTGGCCGTCCTTTTCAGCACGGGCACGAGGAGAGTTGTTCCGTGGTTAGCGTCGGTAAGAGGGACGGGTCAACGCAACCACGAGCTTAAAAAAGTTGAGCCTGGACAGGCGCGTCGTTTGGACGTCGTTGGGGCGAAAATCCCACTTGTGGCAGCAGCGCTACCAGAGTTTATGATAGTTGTTGTAAGCGAATGGAAACATTGAAAGTGAAACGAGGAGACCTCTCCCTCTTCGTAGGCGTGAAGAATTGGATCTACATGTAGTAGGTGTGCGATCAAGCTGTTGTAAAAAATGCAAGCATTCAGAAAACACGGGTCGTTTCTTCTCAAAATGAGGCGCGTGGGGCCCGGACGCGGCACGGCACTCGTCACCAGGGAGGGTCGATGTGGGTGCGGGAGTTAAACCTATACACACAGCCGCAGCACAGCCGCTGGGGTGGCAGCGCGAAAGCCACTGCGCCGCCAGAGGGGGGGCACACGGCAGACACGGAGCATGCCTAACGAACATACCTTCGCATCTGACACAGAGCAAGTGCCGAACGAGATGCCTTCGAATCTACTAATTCCCAATGTAACCGTGCGGCAGGCGGCATTTGGCACTCAGAGCGGAGATGAGGCTAAAATCGCTGCGACGTCGTGCGTGTGTGTGAAAGGGCCCGAAACCAACGCCACTATCTCTGTGTGTCTCTCTTCTCTCTTCTCTCTCTCTCTCTCTCTCTCTCTCTCTCTCTCTCTCTCTCTGCCTCTCTGTCTCTCTCTGTCTCTCTCCTTTTCCGAGCTAGGATAAATCACTCTCGGCTCTGTACGTATCTAACAGCCAAGAGGCGAGGTTCTCCCCCCTCCCCCCCCCCGGCTCACCAAGAACATTCCACCCCGTACCCCCCCCAAACACAAGGGTGATGATGACACTACCAGCTTCTGGCTCATCCTTACAAAACGTAACCTGGGACACCGGGGAAAACCCGGCGTATCGCTGCGTCTCGGCATCGTAGGGACGCGACGTCAATGTTCTAACGGCTACGGCATGCGCGTACATCACCATACCCACCACCCGTGGTCACGGTGGTTGCGCCTTTGTCCTTCGCGTTCCTCTCGCAGGAACGAAACCACGTGTGTATGTGCCTGGTTCTCGGAGCCGGCTCGCTCGGGTTTCCTCTGTACGTCATGTACGACGTCGGGGACGGGCCCTTCGCCGAGCTGTAAGCATCCTCAGACGGGTCGGGGATAGTTATTGTGCGCGTAGGTTGACGTGACTTCGCTTGTTCTTCTTCACGTCTGGGGGGCTTTAGTTGTCTCCATTCTGAGGCGCGGGAGGATTTGGTTTCCCCCGCGGTCGGATAGCTATTGAATTGAGTTTGCACCATGCTGCCCTGTCCCGCTCCACTTTTGTCGAAGCTGCTCATGGTTTGCCGAGGTATCAACCATCGCACGCACATGCGACTCGTTCGCCTGGCCGTGTGGTAGCCACCAAGAGGGCGATTTGTATCCGAAAAGTATTTCAAATCGCCCGCGTTTCTCCACAAGAAACTCGAAAGTCCATTCATTTGTGGGAGGGAATGTTATTGAAACGAAATCGCCCAAGTGTCGTGTTTCCACCCCGCTGCACTCGTCAACATGACACGACCAAAAAAGTCCCCCGGGTTAAGAGGCACGGGCGACATCAGCCTGGTTGATGCGCAGGCACAAACCATCCGAAATATGCGCATATATTTGTATCTGCTTCGAGTGTTCTAGGTTTTGGCTCACCGTCACGATCCTTTCTTCAGTTGCACCGCACCGAAACAAGTCTTGCTGTCGCTGTCGCCGTGGTGGTTTCTTGTAATGATTCTCGTCCAACGGAGGCTTTTCGCCGAGCGTGCGGGGGTTTTGCTGTGGCGCGTCTCGATAGCGTCCCAGGCAATGGTGCTATCCCTCTACCCCCTCGTGTGGTGAGGCTTTTGCGGTCGGTCATCTTTGCCTGGTAGAGGTGTTCGGTTACAACGCAGACCGAGGAGTTTGCTGTTTGCGTGCTACCAAGTACCATCAGGCACCGACTCGGAAGTCGGTCATCATCGTCGTCGATTGGTTCGCGTAACTCCTAACGAAACCAGTTCTCACGTGCAGCAAGCAGGGCATCTTGCACCGTGCCTCGAGTCGGTCATCGTCATCGCCGGCGCCGGCGCCGTTGATCGAGTACAAAATTGATCCAAATTTCTTAGTACGTCCAAGTAGGGCATCTTGCGCTCCCTCTCAGATGTCCGGAGCCTTTGCTTGGACAACGACCGGCTTTTTTGATGATCGCCTGGGTTGGAACACCCGGCGTCCTTGTGCGTCCGTCGATCGCTGAAACGCTGCCTCTCCCTGCTGTCGCCTAACCACGTCATGCTGCAGGAAAACGGACGATATTTTCAACATCTCTCGAGAGCTTCGTGTCGTCATCGTCTTGACCTTCAGTACGACACGTGAGTATCTACGAGAGATAGATCGAAGTTTAAAGTCTTCGGACCTTCAGTTTGACACGCGAGTGACAGAGAGAGAAATGTCGACCGGAATCGGCTTCCTCTTCATTGCGACACGTGAGTAACAGCAAGACGTCGGTCGTCCGGCAGCCGACACTGATATGACATCGTTGCTCATGATATCCACCAGGAACCACACATTGAGCGCGCTTTATCATGAAGTAAGGTCGGAGAGGGCGTGTTTCGTTGCAATGCTGTTGAAATGATGTAGTGCGCGCTTCATCGATCGGCTGACAGCCCCGCCACGGTCTGGGGAACGTTTCTTCCGTTCTTGCACCGCTTGTGCCGTCACATGTACTGTATTAGTACGGCGAGCTCGTCTGCAGTTGTTGAAAATGGCGCCGTGGTTATGCTTTTCGTGTGTACGCACGTGACAGATAAAAATAGTTTCGTTGTTGTTGTTGGTGTTGTTGCTGTTCTTGCTGCTGCACTTCACTCACCAGAAAGAGTACAAAGCCTTTGTTGGCGTGCGCGCAACTTACGGGGGGCGTAAAACCAGGGCACGTGTACGTTTCCGTATTCAGGCTAAAGTGGTACGCGAAAGTCACTCCTGTGGTGGGAATACTGTAGTAACCCGGCGCGGCATGAACGGTGTTACGGCCAAGGTTTCATGCGACAGATCTTGATGCTTGGACGACACTTATTTGCTCCAGGCAGACGGCAGACGTTTCGATGCACATGTCATTTTAGATGCATTGTCCCCTGTTCAGCGTTTTTTTTGTTCGGACGGCAACGAACTCGTCTGCTTCACTCGTCGTTTGAGAGGAGTGCATGACATTTGATCTTATTCGATCAATCCTATGCATATGTTGGTAAGGAATCAAGTCTTCCACGAATCGAAGGCTGATAGAAGAAGAACGTGAGACTCTCGTGATTTCGTATGCACCAAAGTACCTCGTATGCCTGGCCATGACCGCTTAAGAGCGCGGGTTCTTCTCCAACTTGGTCTTGTTTGAAGATTTTGGCCTACGGCGGAGGCACACTTTTTCCGCTGTGGGAAGTCCCTCGAGACTAGAAAACGTGACGGTCTCTCACCAAAACCCGAGCGATTTACCCCAACAGGCCCATGCGGCAGGTCTCCTGTCCGTGGCACTTGCTGCTGTCGCAGCCCTCTCTCGTAGCATTCCCTTGTCCGTCTCGTGATCATGCAACTTACCTTACCCCCCACCCGCATCTTGTGGCAGTCATCGGGCATTTCGGGGACAACCATTCTAGCGAGGATGTCGCCCGTTGGGTCAACACGAGAATCATGGGCTTCATCTCGGCGACCGTCATATTTTTCTTGAGGTGAATAAAGTACTAAAGAAATATGCAGCGATTTAGAGAAGAAAAAAGGGAGACAACGATATTATAAATAGTGAGAGTGAGTGTGTGTGTGTGTTTATTGTTAACATCGACAGCGCTAACCGGCTGGCCAATGAAAAGACATCAGTCTTAGTGCTGTTGAAAACTCAAAACACTTCTTGCCATGAACTGTGTGTGTGTGTAGAGAGAGAGAGAGAGAGAGAGAGAGAGAGAGAGAGAGCGAGAGAGACAGACAGAGCACACACAGAGCACACACAGAGCACACGCTTGTACCGAGGTGGTATGAGGCGGTGCTCCACATCATTCGGCCGCGTCAATCGGTGTTCCAGACGAAGAAGTGGCCGCCGTGCGATCTTCCTGACTATTTAACAAATATGTACCGCATTAATGGAAGTATAAAATCAGCTTCCATGGAAGTTGGATCTACTTCCATGGAAGATCATACCAGCTCCATGGGAGCTACTCGTTTCGCACTTCCATGGAAATAAAGATATGAAATATGGATGTGCCGCTTCCATGGAAGTTAGCTTCCACGGAAGTCCCGTGGAAACTCCATGGAAGTAGAATAGCTTCCATAGAAGTCGAGCCTTAGGCTTCCATGGAAGTTATTCAAAACAGGTTTAGGGCTGCTTCCATGGAAGCATTCAGCCTCGGGTTAGCTTCCACTGTCTTATCGGGGTTAAGGTTAGGGGAGCTGGAATGACCACATATCCAGACGCTTCGGTGGAAGTTTTTTTCATGGAATTTTCGGTTCTTCCACCGAAGTCGGGTCCGACCTCTGTCACTCACTTCTATGGAAGCTGCCTTCATGGGAGTGTTCGTGCTTCCACGGAAGTATCAGAGACTCTGTGAAGCGAGGAGCTTCCATGAAGGTAGTACTGCCATGGAAGCTCGTCGCGCTTCCGTGGAAGTCTGAAATACATCCTCCATGGAAGCAACGAACGGTTTATATCGGGTGCTTCCATGGAAGCGGATCAACTTCCATGGAAGCAGAACAACTTCCATGGGAGTTGTTTTCCGCTTCCATGGACGCATCAGGGAAGCTAGCACCCGAAACAGACGAACAGATTCCATGAAAGTCAATTTGACTTTCATGGAAGCTTATTCCATTTGTAGTGTAGGTTACCTCCGCCGTATGTCATTAGGCGGATACCTGTAGCCATGACAGCATCGCCTGGGATGTGTGTGCGTAGGTGTGTTCCGCCATACCACCACCACCGCCATCACCACCACCACCGTCGTTCCCGTCAATGAAGTGTTCCCTCCAGCCACATACCACCGCAACCCCCCGGTAGCCCTGCGGCCTCGCTGGGGGACCAGACCACACCTTTTGTCGCCCCCACCTCTATGCACGCATCAAATTGATGGTTTTGAAGAGAGTAATCGTTCCGCCGCTAGAGTACGCCGGAGAAGTATGGGAAGGTAATAAGAAGGTAGTCAACAGAGCTTGAGGCAGCGCAGATGAAAACAGCGAAAGTCATCCTATGATGCTCCAAGCGCATAGGTAATGCAGCCGTCGGGGCAGAACTGGGGATCCGATCCCTACGATCGGGAAGAGACGCAAGGAAGCTGACATGGCACATGGCAGTATCGCATATGCGGTATGGGAAAGGAGAGGTTACGGAGAATAGCTTGGAAGGCGGAGTGGGCAAACAGAAGAGGGGTAGATAATCCACGGAGTGGGTCAGGGTTGTAGGTGAGGGTTCGAGACTGACGAAGGCGATACGCTGGATACGGACGGGCCAAAAGGGTTCAAGGAGAAGACATCTGTTGCTTTTGCCGAGAGAGAAGAACATAATCTAAGAAAAGAAAGGAAGGATAAGGTGGGCATAGAAGTGTACGGAATGTTGAAAGGAATAATAGGTACCTATATGGACCCGTGGATACAGGGACAAAGCTGAAGGTCAAATTCAGGACCGGGGATATTGGCATTCGAGAACGTAGACGAAGACATACGAAGGCAGACGATGAAGACTCCAAATTCAAATGTGATTGCGGCTCCGAGTGCGAAGACCGTGTTCATGTAGTCGCAGAATGTCGACTGTACAAGAAGGAAAGGGAAGGGTACATTGATGAGCTGGGAAAAGCAGAAGAAAAGTACAGGAAGATGTTTGAGGCATGGATAGCCAGGAGAAGACGTTAGCTGTACTGGGGCATAGGAAGTGGGCTGAAAGGGCGGGAAGTGATATCGGTAGGATAGATGAAATAGGGACGACATTTTGAGCCACCTTTGGCAAAGTAGGAAGGAACGATAGGCCATCGGTGATCGGTCCTGTGGGAAAAATGCTCCGTCCTCTCGAGGACGCATGATCAATGGTCTGACCGCTAAGGCTTGCAAAACATATAGAGTACGCCTCCTCCCCCCCTCCCCCCTTTTGCCCTGCAACCCCTGTCAAAACTCAACTTCGCCATTTCGAAAATCACGAGAGCCGCTGGACTTCCAGTCAGCGGTCATCGAGCTGTTCACTAAAACCAATGCTGGAGTCTGTCTACCTGTTAGGCCACCAACTGTCGGAGTTCACCCCCACCCAGGGTTTGCCTTCCCTGTGTCTTGACCACAACGATTTCACCCCAAATCGCCGCTCGATGAATCATTCGATGCTCATTTAACCCTGCTTGGCTTTGTACCCTGGCGTCTCCCGTGACCATCATACATCTCAGTCTGGGGCTGCCTATCCGGCAGCTTGTGTTCGATCCCCTCGAATCGTCGGACCCCCGGGTCTCCAGGGCCCTGGCCAAGCGCAGACAGGGCCGCCTCGGGTAAGCAGCAAGCGACTACCAGCGCCTTGAAGAAATCTTGCGTTCAACTCGTCGTCGCGGCCGCCCGTGGGTTGCTGCCTTCCTTCCCTGTTGCGATTTTCGGTGTGTCGTTCCTTGTTGACCCGCCGTCCGGCTATGTACACCGAAGAGGTAGCCACTGGGTAGGGCTAGGTTTAGGGAAATAGATGTATCATCTTCGGACTAATGGTGGATCGCAAGTGGCAGCTCCGAGGCGTTGTCAGAGAGTAGGACCCCTCTGCTGTTTGGCGGGCGCGTCCCTCTTCCAAGCTTCGCGGTGTGCAACCAACACACGCCTCCCACGGGGATTGATTCGACGTATGCGTGGTTTCACAAATACTGCCGGAAAATCTTTGTGGGTACCAGGCCTTGGATGATGCTACCGTTCGAATTGGGCCGAACCTCAATCACAGAAATGGCGTCTGTGGATGTCGGTTGCGGGTGGGAGGCGTCTCTTTATTGCTATGGGGACGTTGCATCTTTATGTAGGTAGACCACCAGCGTGAAAACATCGCCCAAGGAAGAACTCCGTGCGGAACGTACTTACCGTCATTCACACATTCCTCAGAGTCCCGGACTTGAGATGCGGAGATCTCGGGCACCACATTCAGTAATAGAGTGCCCGCCCCCTTCCCTGCCTTCATGTCCAGGCCTGAGTCGACGACAACCCCTTGCTGCACGAGCAGTGCTGGCTCGGAGTTTTCCGGCGTGAACACGCTTGCTCTTTGGACGTACGAGAAGGTGAGAACAACTACGCCTTTGTGAGAGAGAGAGAGAGAGCTAAGAGCACGAACAACAACTGCGCCACTTTTTGACTTGCGGAGATCGCCTTGTAGTGAAGAATAACGTTCACTCCTCGATAGCGAAGTTCCAAACCCTTCTCAGAGCACGAGTTGCGCCAGTACCACAAGCGACATACACCCGTGAGCCGGAGTGCCCTCCGCCGTCCCCCTCCTCCGGAGAAGTAAAGGACAAACAAATGCAGTAATCTCAAAAGGCATGCCTCCGAAAAAAACGCGCTCCACGTGTCCTCAGATGGACAGATGGCGATATGAAAAAGCAGTCCCCTTCGCACCCCTCGTCGACCGGGCGTGCCACCTATCTCGTGCTTGAAAGGGGAATTCAGGAATTCTTCTGGCGCTTGGCACCCTTAAGGGTTACTATTATTCTCGTGGTTTGTTGCTTTTGCGCTGGCGTGCGAACCGACAGGTGGAAGCCATGCCGAGCGTCTCCGTAGCCTTCCACGAGTTCTCCCGCAAGGCCCTGTGCCAAGAGTCCATCTTCTTCCTCAAGGACGTCACGAAGTGAGCGCTTTCGTTGGCTTGCTCAGCCTGTCTGTCACACGAATCCTTCACGCTTGCCTGCCCGGGGGCAAAATTATGTGCTAGATTTATTGATTCGAACGCCTGCGGCAGTACCGGAGCTAATTCGCTACATACTAGGAATGGAGACTCACGCGTCGCTGGGGGGTCGGAAAAGCACTGTAGGTGCGGCGGCAGGGTGAGGGTTAGCCCCTGCGCGAGGGTGTAGATAGCATTAAACAACAAGAGATAAAAAAACGGGTGCATGGAATCACAGCTTTCCTATGGGGGGGGGGCAAATGCCACATTGGTAACGAAATGAGCACGCCCCACCGGCGCCGGGCAAACGCGGATGGATACGTTCACGATACATCTCGCTCATGTGCCCACACGAGCCTAAGCGCAAACGAGTCGACTTTTTTCCTTTTCGAAACCGTGATTAGGAACTTGGGGGCAGAAATTGTAAAAAGTGGACCGAGTATACAGATTTAACACATTTTTGAGACCTGCAGGGTCGAGTGCCTTGATTCATATTCTGTGCAGTCCATAGTTGGCTCGTGAGCCCCATTTTCTCTCTCTCTGAGGGTTCCGTAGCTGCGAAGTCCAGCGAAACGGCGACAACGCGCGGGTTGGTGGTTGTAACCGGCAACGTCCATCTGTTCATGTTGTGTGATTGTTGCCCGGCCAATGGCCTCATTGGACAGGTTCCAGTGTGACGGCTATAGCGACGCTGTTGATGACGGGGGCGGCGAAGACGGCGTTGGAGGCAACAAGTTTGCGGCCTTTACGGAACTCGTTCTGAGGTATATCGTCGACGGCGCCCCCGAACAAGTCAACATCAGGTACAGTACATAGGTCAAGATCGGGTGCAAAAGTACGGTGACCCTCACGAGGTCAACGTCAGGCACAGTACATAGGTGAACATCAGGTACAACATTACATTGGCTTCAACTTATTCCGTCTGCTATGTACCATCTAAATGTTCTCTTTGGGTTCTTCGTGATGGAAGGATTGGATACTCTTGGTTCGCGGTCTTGTGACGTGCACGATATTATTTCAATAACATATCGTTTTCCGTCCAACGCAAGGAGAACGTCCAGCACGATCTTGTTTTCAGAGACAGGTGAACACACACCGCGGAGGGTTGCACGCGGTCGATTTGTCTCTACTTCGTAGACGAGCGGAAAAAGTGATTTATCACGCGACGGGCGAGGAAGGACCCATCCTATTGCTTGATGCGGCCGCCAGTATCCACTCCGCCCTGATCCCCTTACCCGCTGCTGTTTGAGAACCACAGACAAAAACTCGCTCCCGATGACTTTACCGCTGTGAAGTCAAGCACGTTCGTGACAGGAAGGTGCTCGTGTCGTCACTCTTCGACGACCTAGCGTCGTGCGCCACCCTCACCCGTTGTTTGACGAACCTGGAAAAGTGTTGTAGACAGTGAAATCCTGGCCTCCGACAACTTAGCCCCCGTGAAATCAAGCACGTTCGCGATGGGAAGGTGCTCATGTCGTCACTCGTAGGCGACGTAGCACTGGGACGCCGAGAACATTATCCCTGACGCACACACCGTCCCTCCAGATGTAAACATGCTCCCATGGAGCACGCACAGTGGTTTGTTCGACGGTTTTGGCCGGACTTGTGTGGCGACGTGTTGACACTGCTGTAGGCGCTGTGGATTTAAGTTTCAATCCGCCGTAAGCTCATCGTTTTGAAACAGCCGTGAGGGGGAGGACTCGCACCACGCTGCCGCCTCTCCCACCACACGAAGGTCTTGAAAACTAAGAAATTCGCGTGTTGCCCTCCCCCCCTGCCTCACCGGAAAACCTTTCTCCTGCTCCTGTGTCGCGGCAGCTCTGGCAACAAGGATGCAATCGTTGGTGTCTACGAAGCCGGGCAACTAGCGTTCTACGGCCTACCGTCCAGGGAGAGGAGGTATTGCTCTTTGCAGGGCGTGTAGAAGCTGAAATATAGTTTACCCATCCGTATGGTGATCGTTATGCGTTTTACCGTCAGAAAACGCCATCATTATGTGATTTCAAATATGAAATGTATTTAGTCTTTGGTTTTATGGAGGAAACGACAGACTAATTCACTCAGCGCTGACAAGTCTAGACAAATGGGTTGATGTCGGCAACCATAAAGGCTACTTGGGGACTCCTCATGACCAGAATCCTTCACTGCGAGGAAGCCAAAAACGAACCATTAGACCAATAAGCTTACTCTGAACTCACAATATTTGAAGACTAATCAGGGTTTGATTTCGGCTCCTATTGCCATATCTGGCCTACTTTGTGACAAAAGGATTTTGTCTTAAGCAGTGAAACCGGAGAGCCGATAGAACAAAAAATCTCGCAGAATTCATTGTGTTGAATGGTGTTGGAGTGAAAATGAAAACGGAAGCTGTCAGCCCATTGAGCCGATGAGGATAGCGCGGAGTTTCCATGGCCTGGTGGCCTCGACGGGCGCTCCGCTTTCCGTTCTTGGCCCTTGACACGTTGGATGAGTTCCTTTGGCAAGGCTCATTTCTCGGCCTGCTCCGTCCTCGCGGGGATTCGTGTTTCAGAGATCTAGCAACTAAGGCACGCGAAGCTGACTACGCCGCCCCCTCCCAACAGCTCCGTCCTCTCGAGGACGGTCTAGCCACTAGGCACGCAAAGCATAACTACGCCCCTCCCCGACAGGTTTGTCTTCGCAAACGCTTACGCGGAGGTGCGCTTCGTGTTGGAGAGCAATTTGATGGCCAAGTTTATTTCAACGGATGGATTCAAGAACGCCATGGCGGAAGACCGGGCTAGAAACAGCGTCTAGACTATTGGAGCAGCTAGAGAGCGGGCTGTGTCTGGGTTTCTCGGACGAACCGTAGAGGCGGGTCAAACGCTGTTGTCATTTCGGGTGAACAGCAGTACTCATGTATCCTGGTCGTCACCTTCGACACATTAAGTAAGGATGCAACAGGCGGTGGGTGTCACAAAAGAGAACGGCCGGCCACACAGGAAACAGAAGAACAGGGGGGGGGTTGTTTGTTGTTCGTAAAAAATGCTTCTTGCAATATGAACTTGTAGATGGGCGACAACGAATGGCGGTGGCCATTGTTGTTCGTAAGTCTTTAGCAGTGTGCCCCACATGAATGTACAGCTTGGGCCCGGAGATACGGAAAGCGAACAAATTGGAGGAACCTCAATTCCTTACATGGGGTCGAAGTTCCTGCCGAACTCATCCATAATTGATAGATTTGTTTTCGTGTTTTTGGGGCTGTCGCAGACTTTGCTAATTCATGTACGACGACAACCACAGCTTGGTTCGAAACGCCAAGAAAGGCGGCGGAGAGTTCTTTTCGAGCCGATTCAGCAGAGAGCGTGTGGCGGTCGCGACGTGCAGCGCTACGGCAGAAGCGAGGAGGGCAGCCCGCGGAGGCGCTGGGGCGCCGCGAAATCGTTCACTGACTCCTTTTTGGTTCACAAACTACTTTTACCTAGGGACCAACTAGGGGGTGGGAGCAGCACAAGGAGAAGTGGGATGTTTCTCATTGGACTCGCTCCCCGCCCCCCCCTTGTTTCTTCATGTCTTGGGTGTATCGCATGATCCTGTTTTGGGACTTTTCTCATGTTGTAACCGATATTAAGCTCTGTTTCTTGGCCCAATTTTCTTACTCCACTCTGATCGAGAGTTCGTGGCCAGCATGGACGATCGTCTTGCGGCAACCGGGCATCATCAGAGAGGACCCGGG